TATTTGTGTCTTGATAATATTTCTGGTCGTGTGCATATATCTCCTCAAGNGTTATAGCTCTATTCACAAAGGATATTTGTGTCTTGATAATATTTCTGGTCGTGTGTATATATCTCCTTATGTTGTTTTTGATGAGTATAACTTTCCCTTTGCTTTTCATAATGACACTTCATCTGAAAATAATTCTGATTCTTCTTCTATTCCTGCCATTCTTTCAGTTCCTTCTTCGTCTATTGTTTTGTCCACTCTTGGTCCGCATAATCCGACTCATAATTCTTCTTCCAGGTCAAGTTCTGATTTATTGCCCAATAATGATTCCTCAGCTCTTGTAATAGCAGTTTCAGATCCAGCAGTGTTAAATTCCAGCAGCCCTTCAGTTTCTGATGATGACCCACCTATTCATACTGCTACACCACAACGAGTTGTGACTCGGGCCATGAATGGGATAACAAAGCTGAAGAAACTTTTCTCCTTAGCTGCTGTCAAGTTAACTGAACCAAGTACTTTTCGTCAAGCACAAAAGGATCCTAAGTGGACTGCTGCTATGCAAGCTGAGTATGATGCTTTGCAACGTAATAAGACTTGGATTTTGGTTGCTCTTCCTGCTGAAGCCAGTATTGTAGGCTGTAAGTGGGTATATCGATTGAAATATAGAGCTGATGGAACCATGGAGAGATACAAGGCACGCTTAGTTGCTAAGGGGTACAATCAGACTTATGGCATAGACTACTTTGAACATTTAGTCCAGTAGTCAAACCAGCAACCATCAGAATTGTTCTCACTATTGCTCTGTCTTCTAAATGGATTGTCAGACAACTAGATGTGCAAAATGCCTTCTTAAATGGTGAGTTAGAGGAGGAAGTTTTTATGCAACAACCTCTTGGTTTTGTGAGTGCACATTTCCCTGAGCATGTTTGTCTATTGAAGAAGGCTTTATATGGCCTTAAACAAGCACCAAGGGCTTGGTTCACTAAGCTTAGTTCAGCTCTTCATTCTTGGGGATTCCTTTCTTCAAGAACAGATAGTTCTTTATTCTTTTGCTGTGGTAGAACTACGATTCTCATAGTATTGGTGTATGTTGATGACATACTCATCACTGGCAGGTCGGAAGACCAGATTTCTCATTTGATTACTTGTTTACACAACACCTTTGCCTTGAGGGATTTAGGAACTTTATCTTATTTCCTTGGCATTGAAGCTTCGTATTCTGCTGATTCTTTACATCTCTCTCAAAGTAAGTATATAGCAGACTTGCTTGCAAAAACTGATATGACTGATTGTAAACCAGCTAAAACTCCTGGTGCCCTTGGCAAAACAGCTTCTCAATATGATGCTGAACCTTTTGAGGATGTCACTAAATATAGAAGTGTTGTTGGTGCTCTGCAGTACGTCACAATGACTAGACCAGATCTGTCTTTTGCTGTTAACAAGGCCTGTCAATTTATGCACCAACTAACTACTTCTCATTGGTTAGCTGTTAAGAGGATTCTAAGGTATCTTAGGGGAACAATGCAAGAAGGTCTTATTCTTACAGCATCTGATAATTTTCAGATTCAAGCTTACACCGATGCTGATTGGGCAGGGTCTCCAGATGATTGAAGAAGTGCTAGTGCCTTTTGCATATATCTGGGAAATAGCTTGGTTTCCTGGTTTGCTACAAAGCAGAAAGTCATGTCCCGAAGTTCTGCTGAATCTGAATACAGGGCCCTTGCTATTGCAATTGCTTAAGTGAAATGGATTCAAGCCTTGTTGAAAGAGCTGTGTATGCCACTAGAAGATCTTCCTGTTCTTTGGTGTGATAATACAAGTGCTAATTCTATTGCTACTAACTCTATGTTTCATGCTAGGACAAAGCACATCGAGATTGACTTGCACTTTGTTCGGGACAGAGTTGTTCAAAAACAGCTAACTCTGCAACACATCTCTACTGAAGACCAGATAGCAGATCTCTTGACTAAGCACTTATCAAGTTCAAGGTTCTTGTTTTTACGGTCAAAACTTTGTGTGGTTCCCATGGTTCAAAGTATCGGCCGAGTCCGAGTCAACTCGGCCGAGTCGTATCCGTCTCGGCAGTTGCCGATCCGATAACGATACACGGTACATTAATATAACGAGATTCAACTGAATCGGTTACAACTCGGTGGTATCGGCTCAACTCGGAACTAAATCGGTTATACTCGGTCGAGTCGAACCGAATNTCAAAGTATCGGCCGAGTCCGAGTCAACTCGGCCGAGTCGTATCCGTCTCGGCAGTTGCCGATCCGATAACGATACGCGGTACATTAATATAACGAGATTCAACTGAATCAGTTACAACTCGGTGGTATCGGCTCAACTCGGAACTAAATCGGTTAGACTCGGTTGNTACACGGTACATTAATATAACGAGATTCAACTGAATCGGTTACAACTCGGTGGTATCGGCTCAACTCGGAACTAAATCGGTTATACTCGGTCGAGTCGAACCGAATCAGACCGCTATGGTGTATTTGGAAAATCTGGGTAGCAAAACCCAAAAAAAAAAAACAGAACAAGGAAGAAGAAATTGGGTGAGACTCATAGTGAGCCGACTCCAACTCAACACAACTTGGCTGATTCGCATATAATAGATCACAAATATTGAGAAAATTCCANACTCACAGTGAGCCGACTCCAACTCAGCACAACTTGGCTGATTCGCATATAATAGATCACAAATATTGGGGAAATTCCAAAAAAAAAAAAAAAAGAAAGAGATGAAGTATAAAAAGACCCAGAAAATCGAAGAATCACCGTGATCAGAAAGCCTCTTTTTCTTCTTCTTCTTCTTTCGGTNAGTCGAACCGAATCAGACCGCTATGGTGTATTTGGAAAATCTGGGTAGCAAAACCCAAAAAAAAAAAACAGAACAAGGAAGAAGAAATTGGGTGAGACTCATAGTGAGCCGACTCCAACTCAACACAACTTGGCTGATTCGCATATAATAGATCACAAATATTGAGAAAATTCCAAAAAAAAAAAAAAAGAAAGAGATGAAGTATAAAAAGACCCAGAAAATCGAAGAATCACCGTGATCAGAAGGCCTCTTTTTCTTCTTCTTCTTTCGGTGGAGGCCCATAGCAGAAACCCTAAGGTTACAGATCAAAAAATCTTCAATCGTTCCTTATTGTTCGCTTCTTTCGGTGGAGACCCATAGCAGAAACTTTCCTTCGTTTGTCGCTAGCACTCTTTGTCTGTCTGTCTGTCTGTCTCTCTCTTTCTCTCGTGATCGAGAGGCAAGGAGAAGACAACACAGACCACACACAGTGTTTATATTTTATGGGCCACTCACCTTTCGTTTGTTTTTTGTCCTTAGACACGTGTTTATATTTTATTGACCCTTACCCCTTTATGTATCAAAAATCTCTAATTCAATTAGTAAATTATTGAAAAAAATAATTAGGAGAAAAAATAAAATAAAATTAGAACAATGACTCATTAATTTATTAATTGAACACAAAATTATTCATGTAAAATATTGAGATCTACTCATACTTGTCAAATTTATAATTTATGGATACATATTTGCTGTTTTTATTTTTATTTTTTTTTTAAATTAGATACTAGTCAGTTAAAAAAATTATAATAACATGTTTAAAATNATGACTCATTAATTTATTAATTGAACACAAAATTATTCATGTAAAATATTGAGATCTACTCATACTTGTCAAATTTATAATTTATGGATACATATTTGCTGTTTTTATTTTTATTTTTTTTTTAAATTAGATACTAGTCAGTTAAAAAAATTATAATAACATGTTTAAAATTTAGTGTGTTTTTAAATAAAAACATTCAACCTAAATGATGGCAAATATTTTTGGTGGCGACCTTATAATTCATTTTTATTATGTTTAATATGTTAAATAATGTATTTTTGGGATATAATGCATGAATGATGATATTTACATATTTTTAAAAATTTTCATGATTTTTTTATATTTTTTTGGGTCTTCAATGTAGCGTTTTGAGCGTATCGGCCGATACGACGTTGCGACACCGCGATTGATGTGTCTCAGTACCCTCCGAGTCGATGACCGATACCGCGACTTTGAACCATGAGTAGAACCCAGCCGGTTTGACAAAACCATCCGGTTCATGGTGTTTGTCAAAAATCGGCCGGTATGACGGTTTTACTCCGGTTTAATTGCTTAAGCGGTCCNGTTTGACAAAACCATCCGGTTCATGGTGTTTGTCAAAAATCGGCCGGTATGACGGTTTTACTCCGGTTTAATTGCTTAAGCGGTCCAATTTAAGAACTTGACCGACTGAGGTCCTGGTTCATGGTCGAACAGCCAGTCCGGTCCGGTTTTGATAACACTGGTTTAAAGATTGTCACAATCAGTCAACTTAAGCATAAACATTGACTTCTCAGTTAGAATCAATCTCTTGAGTTAGGAACTTACATGTTAATTAGTCACTACGTGTAGTTCATTTATTTGTTGTTGAGTCTGTCCCAGTTTTCTATCCTCGGACCATTATTTAGGATTTATCTTGTTGGATATTTGAGTTTTCAATAAGAGTTTTTGAAAGCAATCATTGATGAGCGCTTTCTCTTTGAGCATGTTCTTTATTCTATAAGTTAATTTATATGGTCGTTATGGCTGTTGTAATTTCTTTAGACAACACACGTCATTATTTGCACAGATTTTTTGTTAGTTTCGTGGTTTTTTAAAATTTAGGATGACAGTCATGTATGTGTATTCTCGCCTAGTATGGTTGTCTGAATGTACTTTTAGTCACGTTTACTAATGTTCTGGCTAGTTCTTCTAATCATCTGTAATCTGTTGACCTGTATCTTAGATAAAATCTTTGCTATACAGTTTACTGTTTACTCTCCGGAATATGGAGAGATCAGAATTATTTACTTTTTATCTTCGTCAATACATTTTATACCTGATTTGTGCTGTATTTTTTTCCTCTTATCTTTGGTTATGTGCTCACAACTCCTTGAATATGATATATAGATACGCACCATCATGGTGGATAACATTGAGAAGATATTGGAGAGAGGTGATCGGATTGAGCTTCTTGTTGACAAAACTGCAACAATGCAAGATAGTACATTTCACTTTAAGAAACAGTCTAAGCGCCTTCGCCGAGCCCTTTGGATGAAAAATGCAAAGCTCTTGTAAGTACTTTATCTGCTGCAATTAGTTTTTTGACGTCTATGAACACTGAAGTTATACTTTCTTCAATAGATGAAACTTTTAGATGAGTTGGATGTCTTTAAGTTTATATCATAGTTTTGGGTGCCTGAGATTCTGATGTCAACCTTCAGTGTCAATGCATAGTACCTCGCATTGTCTTTGCGCATAAATATGTGCCAATTTCATGTTCGTGCTTGATCCACTTGGTTGTCTGTGTTCTCCATGTGTGAGTCGAGGTCAGACGTGAAATATGGTGTTGAGAGCTTGATAAAAATTGTTGAGGCCCTTCTCTTCAACTCTCTCTATATCATTCATTTTTGTAATCGAGCCATTAGTGTATCGCTGATCCTGTTTCTGGGTGTTCTATCAACCTCTCCATGTGTGAGCTCTGCTCCACTCGCACTTGCAGGGGAAAAATATCTACCCAGCCCAGACTAGTATATGAAACATGTCTAGGAGTGTACAAAAAGTGTAAATGTCCACAATACAAACATGTTCACCACACAGGCACAACTCCTTCCATGATTTTTGTGCTACTTACATAATACCTAATAACAAATACCAATGGGTTATAGTCTACCCAATTCTAACAGTATTGCCTAATCTGTAGTGGAAGAAATTGGTTAGTCCTTTTTCTTGATTGCATTAGACTGCACACCTTCCCAAGATAGACAGAGAGACAGAGAGCACTTGGTTAGCAGTATAATAGCTTGTAAAATTGGTTTGTTTAGGTGTGAAGAAAAAAATCATGGGCTTAAGATCTTGTCAGGGGTTTGAGCTTTAGTCACCTTACTTGTTGCCAACATCCTTGAAATGTTTCACTGCACGAAATGTATTAGGCATTCTCACATACCATTGATATAGTGCACCATGGAGAAGTGTTTTGCTTTCATCGAGTAATACTACAGGTAGTATGCACCTTCAAGAAGCTATACTTGTTCAGTATGTGGTATAATAGGATTAGATGGAATTTAGTAGACATCATGGAATGCAATTTGAGTTAGAATGACTGGTTTGTGCTTTAGAATCAAGAGGTTCACTATGAATCAGAGTTAGACACCTTGAAGATTTGGGGCAAAATCCCAGGCAGAAGTTGGGTTTGGAGCTTGGATTTTGAAGTCTCAGTCTAGTGCAAGTAGCTTGTATGCAACTAAATTTCTAATCTTCTGAATTATGCTTTAGTGTTCCATTCAGCATGCAGTCCTATTTTTTCGGTCCATTTGCCGCTTGAAGTTGTTGGTTTGGGTGCTGAATATGGGGATCTTGGTTGTAACTCTGGAGGATTTAGGTCATTTATAGTGATGAACTGATTCAATCATACCTTTTAAGTGCAATCACCTATCACGTCAGTGTTCTGTCTGCTGCCATTTGCTGATTGCTCTTTGGGTCTGCTCTACCTTGTAAATAAGGACTATCAACTTGTGACTGCCACAATTGTTATAAATTCTATCATAACTTTTGTAAAATGAAGAATTTGTTTGTTTGTATGATTAAAAGTCACAAGCAATAATCTGACCACAAAACTGTCAGTAGCAATGGAACCACTCCTTTATTCAATGTTTGAATTTAGCTTTCTGCTGCCTGGAGGCTTTTCTAATTTCACGCGCAGATAGTTGATAGTTTTACTCATGACAGGGCCATGTTGACGTGCTTGATTGTTCTGTTGCTGTACATAATAATAGCAACTGCTTGTGGAGGCATCACATTACCTTCCTGCCGATCATGAGATTTCTGCCAATGCGACAAATGAGACACCAATGGTTTATCTTGCTTTATATCTTTACTGCTTTGTGGTTCAGAATTTCCAGATTTTTGAGGTGTCTGCAGAAAAATATTTATTCCTTCGTTGAAGGTTCCAAAAATAACCTAGTTGATTATTGTTGTTGTGGTTAGTGTAAGTATTTATTGTGGACAGTGTGATAAGTATGAGTATTTATCTTCTTCTTCTTGTATTTTTGTAAATGCTGGGATTTTATGTAGATTGTATTTGGCATTCAAGCTTACACTGTTTGGATGAAATGATTTGATGTGAAAAGAAAAGAAAATTGGAGGCAAGAGGAGCTATATTATTCACTTGTTCTATTGGCCCTTCATACCCC